TTATAGTAACAGAATCTTGAAAGCCTGAAGCACTTCCCTTTCTTTCTATCAAGGAGAATCAAGGTGGGGCAATCTTGAGTTTCTTTCTCACACTTTCCTGCTTTCCCGGCTAAGCTCAAGTTTTCCTCACAGTCTCCACATACCTTCTCCAAAGCCATCCCTGGGCTCCTCTGCAGGGCAACACCCGACCTGCATCACCCGTGGAGAGCAGCAGATCCCAATTCGACTTCCCCAGATCTACCCCCCCCACCCCATTTTCCCAGGACCCCACCAGGAGAAGTCCCAGGTCTCATCAACGACTCCTTCCCAAGAGAAGCTCCGTGTTTCGCAGTCAATTTTCCATCAAGGGCAAGCTCCCTTTCACCCTCCCAGCAAGACCTCCCCAGGCCCTGGTAGAAGAGGGTCCTGCTTCCACCGGCAGGAGGAACCCAGGATCAGCTGCATTCAGACAGCAAAACTCGAGCAAAGCTCTCCCTCCTTGATCCCAACCCATCGTGTTCTCAGCCGACACCCATCCCAGGTTTGTCTTCTTAAGCAGCATTCAGCCATACGATCCCTGGCAGGTGGCCACGTCCAACAGCATGACCACCCGAGATTCTCCATCTCACAGTTGACCCTCCAAAACACGACGGCACAAACCTTGTTGAGATCCGCCTTGAGGGCCGCCGTGAATTCCTTCTCCTTCTCCTGCACCATCTTCTTCAAGGCCTTCAGCTGCTGGATACGGAAAGCCAAAGGGCGCGTCTTGCCCGTGTTGAAGGCAGCCCGAGCCTGTTCCACCACGTGCTTCAGCTTCTCCATGGCTCCCGGGAAGCTGTGAAGAGACGGGTCGGGTCAGTCTGATTTGAACATCTCTCTGGCGTCGCTCAATGTTGCTGGCCCTAGCGGCGCTTGGACTCATGAGTTAAATTGGAACAGGTGCCTTTCAGAGCCCCAGCAGGAATTCGCGCCGGGGGCTCAGTGCAGAATCGGAAAGTCGTCGGACCTTTCCCAGCTGGTGGGAAAATCAAAGCTCCGCCAAGAGTTTGTGGCCTCCTTGATGGCAACCCGATTGTGTTCTCAGCCAACACCCATCCCAGGTTTGTTTCCTTAAGAAGCACTTGGCAATATGATCCCTGGCAGGGGACCATGTTCATCAGCCTGGCCCTCCTTCCACAGCTTGAGCTGAAATTCAAAACTCCCCACCAGGTCTTGCTCAAAAAACAAGGCTTTCTCTCCCGCCTTTGGGAGACTCTACAGCCACCCACCACGGTGGTGGGATGATCTGGGCCGAGGACGAGCGAGGCGGGCAGCGGAGCCGTTGACGGGCTCTCGAGGCCACTGAATGGGGGACCTTCTGGATCGGGTGAGAGGCCCAGAGTCGCATGTGGTTCTGCTTCTCCTCGGACAGCTGATTTTGGCCAGCATGACCAAGATTTCTCCTTCTTCCCTTTGGCAGTTGTGCAAAAGGGTTATACCTATTTGAGGGCCATGCAGGCAGAAAGGCAGGATATACACCAGTGTTTTTCAACCTTGGCAACTTTAAGACGGGTGGACTTCCACTCCCAGAATGCCCCAGCCAGCTTTCCACACTTCTTCAAGTTGCCAAGTTTGAAAAACACTGATATACACTATCGAAGAAGAAAAAGTGTGCT